ATCCACCATCTGGGTCTCTGGATTAATAATCTAGTGATAATACCACAAGGCTATTGCCTCCCCACTAGCAATTAATGTAGTAAGATACATGCAGGGTTGGATGAACTGAGATGAAAAAAGAAAGTATTGTTGATTTCCAAAAATCGTTTATTTTTGTAATCTTGAGATTTAAGTCAGTCTGCATTTTTACTCTAAATTCCTAATGATATGAAAATACAGCGAAGAACCTGAAGTCACTTGTTGGCCAGACCAGCAGGAGTGATAGGCTAACTTCTCTGGAGAACTTTGGTGAATCCTTTTGCTTTTCCAAGACTGTAGCAGCTTTTGTGACCAGTTTTCTGATGCTGGTGCGTGATTTTGCTTTTAATGCAGCTTCACACGCTGGAAAATTCAGAGCTTGTTGGTCTAGTAGCTTACCTCATCGGCTGGTGTAGCCCTCTGTGATTAGGAATAATTACGACAGCTTTGCTTGTGTTTATAAGCCTTCACATTTAATGTTACGGTGTCTTCTATATTGTTAGAGGAAGAATGGAAAATGCGCTATGACTGCACTTTACTGGAAATGGAGTTTCTCAGGAAACGAGTCCATACGTTTGAGGAAAGAATTGCTTCAGAATTGCAGATCAGAAAGGAACTGGAACAAAAGGTAAAAAGCACCTGGATTTTGAGGTGACACATTACAACTGTGGTCTTCTGCTCTTTCACCATTTTTTGCTGTTTTGATGTTTTCTTCCGATGCGTGCTCAGGAGAACCCCTTCAGAATTTCGAAGCAGTTGGCTGCAAACTGCATAAAATACGCTCTTTCTTTCTGTTTATCTTGTACATTTTAAAATGTCGCTGGCAGAACCATCAGTAAAAATTTGGGCAAAAAATGTAAACTACAAAGGAGCTTTCAAATTTGAGGCAAAATGAAGGACCCATCATATGGGTCTTATGTGCTATTGCTGCACGTTGAAATCCCACATAGTACAGTGATCTGAACAGTTGGTCAAGTTGTTTTTGGAGTTAATTGGGAAAGAAGTGCTGAAAATTATGTCAGAATTCCCCAGCTGTTATTTTGAAACATTTCATTTGAATAGCTACATTATCGTATTGATTTTGTTGAAGACCTCTGGCTAGTCATGGTTGGGAACTTTGTTGCATGTAGCATCAATGAAACTGGGAGAGTGTGACTGCCTGTCTGGACTGTTGTATGCACTGACAACTGAGTCAGCTCCCCATTGAGTAGTGGTTAATAACAAGTTTTCCTCACTTTTGCCTGTCCCCACTGTTTTCGTCTCTTCGGTTTGGTCAGCTGACAGACCTCCAAGAAAGTTATGAGAGTGCAAAGCGGAATGTTCAACAGTTAAGGAGAAAGAGCAAGTGTTTGACCTCAGAACTGGAGGACACTAAAGTGCTGATGGAAAGTCAACAGAGCCGGAACCACGAGCTGGAGAAAAAACAGAAAAGGTAGGAGTGACTTCCGGAGAAGCAGGTGCTTGTTATTCTTTTGGCTGTCAAACTCTTTCAGAAAGCGTTTAACAAAGTCTCACATGAGAGGTTAATGTGCAAGATTAAAGTGCACGGGATTGGGGGAAGTGTATTGAGATGGATAGGAAACTGGTTGGCAGAGATGAAACAAAGAGTAAGAATTAATGGGTCCTTTTCAAATTGGCAGGCAGTAACTAGTGGAGTGCTACAGGCATCAGTCCTAGGACCCCGGTTATTCACAATATATATTAATGATTTGGATGAGGGAACAAAATGTAACATCTCCAAGTTTGCAGATGATACCAAGTTGGGTGGGAGGGGAGGGGTGTTTTTGTGTGTGTGGGGGGGGGGGGGGGTGGGGGGAGGGGGAGGTGTGTGAATTGTGACCAGGATGCAGAGATCCTTCAGCATGATCCTGACAGGTTGGGTGAGTGAGCAAATCAATGGCAAATGCAGTGTAATTTGGATAAATGTGAGGTTATACACTTTGGAAGCAAAAACATGAGGCAGATTACGACCTAAATGGCTGTAACTTGGGAGAGGGGAGTGTGCAGCGGGACCTGGGTGTCCTTGTACACCAGTTGCTGAAGGTAAGCATACAGGTGCAGCAGGCGGTAAAGAAAGTAAATGGTATGTTGGCCTTCATTGCGAGCGGTTTCAAGTACAAGAGCAGGAATATATTGGTGCAGTTGTACAGGGCCTTGATGAGATGACACCTGGAATATTGTGTGCAATTTTAGTCTCCTTTTCTGAGGAAGGATGCTCTTGCTCTCGAAAGAGTGCAACGAAGGTTTACCAGGCTGAATCTGGGGATGGCGGGTCTGACATATGAGGAGAGATTGACTAGTTTGGGTTGTTTTCGCTGGAGTTCAGACGAATGAGGAGGGGTGGGGGGTGCGGGCAGGATCTCATAGAGACTTATAAAATTCTAATAGGACTGGACAGGGTAGATGCAGGGAGGATGTTCCCGATGGTGGGTGTGTCCAGAACCAGGGGTCACAATCTGAGGATTCAGGGCAGACAATTTAGGACGGAGATGAAGAGACATTTCTTTACCCAGAGAGTGGTGAGCCTGCGGAATTCATTACCACGGGAAGTAGTTGATGCCAAAACATTGAATGTATTCAAGAGGTGGCTAGATATAGCACTTGGGGGTGAACGGGATCAAAGGTTATGGGGAGAAAGCAGGATTAGGCTGTTGAGTTGGATGATCAGCCATGATTGTGAAGAATGGTGGAGCAGGCTCAAAGGGCCGAATGGCCTCCTCGTGCACCTATCTTCTATGTTTCTATGATTAATCTGATCCGGTGTTTCTCATTCAGTGAATTACTTGGCGTTTGGTCACTGCTTTTATTCTTTTTGATACAGTGTACTTGTCTACACAGGGCTGCCTTAGCAACAAATGGCCAAGTGTTTGTGATAATGGGCTAGAAAAAATAATTTGCTAAGAGGTTCATGATATTCGTGGCTGTGAAGGAGATACAAGTGTTGAGGATTCATCACTTTGTAGATATAGATTACACCACTACTCACTTAGTGGCTGCACAGTTTAGGATTAAATTACGACAGATGCTGGAATCTGTACTGAAAACAAAAAATGCTGGAAATTAGAGCGGGTCAGGCAGCATCCATGGAGAGAGAGAAAGCTAACGGTTCAAGTCTAGAAGACGCTTCATCAGAGTTTTCGAAACATTAGCTTGCTTTCTCTCCACGGATGCTGCCTGACCATTGTGATTTCCAGTGTTCTTTTTGTTTTCAGTGGTGAATGCACAACCTCAGTACATTGTCAATCACATAAGAGAGAGGTTTTTTTTGGAGTCACAACTGTTTTCTGGCACTCTTTGGAATCTCCTCTTGACATTATCCTTTAACTGATGACCCAGTCTTAACTTACTTGCTTTTTTTTCACTCTGCGGCTAATAGTTGGAGTGAGTTTTATGTATGGTTAGAGAGCACTTGACATTTTCCAGTTCCGTGCGAACCAATTGCTCGGCTATTTCTGGATACATAAGAGAAGAATTATTATTTCTACTGTACAGGCAGTCCCTGGGTTGTGAACCGGTTCCATTTTGTATACATTTGCAAGTCAATTTGTACGCAAGTCAGAACACAAAACAAGACAATATAAATTGGCCATTCATAAGTACAGGAAATGTTCCTTATGATGGATCTTTAAAATTACACCACTGTTTGGGATCACTTCTATGAGTCAGACATTTATAAATTGGTGACCCCCTGTACTGCTGTTCTTAAATGTGGTCAGATGTTACACAGCACCAAGTCTGAAAGTTTGTGATTTCGCATAAACCTGTTGGACTACAACCTGGTGATGTGTGGTTTCTAAGTTTGTCCACCCCAGTCCAACACTGTCACCCCCAAATCATGTTCTTGAATATCACTCGAAGGTCAGGATGTTTTGGATGAAGGGATTTCCTTGCATGCACTTGAAGAGTCAGTGGGAAACACATCCCCACTGTTACCTGTTGTCCTGTGACTATTTTGAGCACCCATATCCCCACTCTGAAGTTCCACCTTAGATAGCAAATGTGATTGGCCGGCAGCTCCTTACTCCCAGCAGCTCCGTGTTTGAGTAGTGGCCACTGCTGGAACTGCAGCCTGAGGGGGTGGGGGACTGTGTTGATGGGGAGTTGGAATTGAGGGGCCAGTGGGGTTATGATCTTGGCAGGAAGGGGTGGCAGGTAAGATAAAGGGGGAGGCATGATCTTGGTCGAGAGGTGGGGGTGTTCCGCACGGAACCCCTAGAAGTGGGTTTCTCCCACTACCGGATAACAGTGGGCTCTGTAAAAGCTGAGGGCCTCACCTGTGCCTTGTCCTTGCAGGTAAAACAACAGTAGGAATCGAAAGAGTCACTAAAATTACCATTAATTGCCCACATAAAGACCAATAGGCCCAAGGATGTATTCAGATTCCTCCACTCTCCCTCCCTGTATGATATGGAATGCAGGTTAGGCTGGGCATGCCACAGAATGCATTTGTAAGACCTCTTTAAAGCCCCTGCTTGGAAAATGTAAAATGTAAAATTCTGCCCTAAGAGTCTTATAAACAAATTCCACAAAAACATATTCTCTGGATCTGAAGTTTTTCAAACAGACCACTTGATAGAACACTAGAATTTATATTTATGTAGTGATCTACGGCTCCTGAGGACAGGCGATCATCATCAGATTACCACTCACATTTCTCCCCGATCTACATCTGTTTTTGTTTCTGCTGAGTGTTTCAAACCCAGCTTCCTCAGAAACTCCCAGTCTCAAACCCATCAGGGAACTCTGTTGCAGGGAAATAGAGATGGGGCAAGGACAGAATAAGCACCATTTTAATGGCACCACGTCTGTATGGTAAGTTTAAAGGTCTGGTTTGAATGTGTAGGGGGGGCTTGGTCTATAGGTAGCTCGGAGGTAAGTGTGCAAGTTGGCAGAATGGGTGAGTTGGTAAGTGAGTAGGGTCATAGGAGGGTTAGATGGTAGTTAGATCTGGGAGTTAGTCAGCAAGGTCAGGGATAGTCAGGTGATTGAGTGGAGACTTGGAATTGTTGGGGGTTTACAGTTTGAGTGACCGCGATGTCTGTTCTAGGGTCATCCAGAAGTCAGACTAGATATTTTCCGCCTAACATTCTCTGGGTTAGCACCATGGAGCTGTCCAAAGTTTCTAATTCCAATTCAGATTCGCAGAGGTTTCCAGAAGGTCCTGGAGAGAGGGCGAAATTACCTGTCACAAGTTGAAACATCCAGAATTATTTAGTTTTTAAGATCTAGTTTGCATTGGAATGAGTAATATAAATGTTGCAGAGTTCATTAATTTTCTTCCAAGTATCTAAACAAACATCAAACATGTTCAGATCCAGCAATGTAGTAAAACTACTCACTTTATTTGTTCTAAAAACAATCCTGAGCCCTAATCTATGTTCTAAAAAGGGTCCTGAGCCCTAATCTATGAAGACCACAGCTGAATACATTATCTACTTGAACCATCCTGTGGATTTTCTGAACAATGAAGAAATAGAATGAGTGATTCACATTTCAGGAAGCCCTATTTTAATGCGAGCATGAAGCCAATTACAATAATTATGGTCACCCTGCTATTAAAATTATTAACATGGAAATGTCAAATGAACACATTTAAGTGTTTGCCTGGCAATATCACAACAGTTGTTTTTATGTTCAAAGCAATTTATTTTCAAAATGGGTTACGCCAATGAAGGAGAGGAGCAGTAACACATTCAGTTTTACAGTTCTGACACCCTGGTTGTTTTTTTAATGGAGAATCACTTTCAGTTCATTGAAAGATCTGCTTTTTGACAAATTACTTTTGGATCTGGTTTGAGGTAGAAATTGATGACTTCATTGATGGCTTGAGGGATTGTTGACTGACAGAACTTCAATGAAAAGCTTGATCGTAATTCAGTCTCATTGTGATTTCTCTGCTTTTGTCCCACTTTCACTGACAAGGTTCGACATGGAGCTGGCTCAGGCTCTGGGGGAAGCTGCCTTCGAGAAGACCCTTCGTGAGAAAGTTGTCCAAGAAAACCAAGCATTGCGGACAGAGCTTTATCGGGCACAACAGAATCTGCAGGTGAGACGCAGATGTCAATCTTTTAACTTTTCTGGCAGCTTCAATTTAGAGATTGATCATCGTGAGTGAGGAACACAAATACTCATGTCATTTAAGGTTGAAAGACCCCCTCCCCCTGTGATGAGTAATGAAATCCTTGTTAAATAGCTTCTTTTCAGTTGCTACAAGCTGTGCTCCCTTTCTCCTTTACTTGTTGAGGTATTATATTCTTCCTCATCATGGGCTTTCCATTTGCAAGTGAAGAGAGCAGGCAGGACTCCTGAAGCAGCACTATGCAGAGACAGGCTGTTGGAAACATGGCTAAGTTCCCTTCCTTTCTCTGCAGGGATCCTTTGCTTAGCTGAAGTGCACACTTGTGTAGAGGAAAGAAAATGACAGACTCTCTGTCTCATGCTGCAAAGACCATTAATGTGAACTATCCACACAGTTGTTACGGTGCAGCAGCCTCAGATTCTTAACTTGCAGCAGTGAATTCTTGAGGTGTGTTGGACGTCCTGTCCAGTTCAATACATTCCTCAGCATGTGCGCCATCTACACTTATCATGGGCAACTGCTTTTATTGGCCAGTCAACAGTGACCATGAACCAGCACATGGGCAGCCAATTGTAAAAGTGTTGCTTAAATCCCAGACAGTTGAATGCATTCTTTGCACCTCATTGTCTCCCTACTATATCTATGGATTTACAAAACTCTTCATGGCACCCCTCTGTCCATGCACTGACCAACTTTTATATCGTGGACATTTCTGTGTCAAGTTGTTCTCAACATAGCTAGACTGATGTAGTTGGAGAAACAACGATATCATGGATTTCAAGATCAGAGAATTTAGGCCCATTAGAAAGATGGATGTTGTTTATACAGACTAGGAGCAGGAGTAGGCATTCGGCCCTTCAATCCTGCTCCACCATTCAATATCATGATGGCTGATCCATCCAGCTCAGTACACTGTTCCCTTCATCCTTGATTTAGTCATAAGAGGACCCATTAAAGTAAAGGAACACATATTTGGTGTTTAAAGGCTGCTTATTTGAAACAGTACATTTCCATGGTTGGTTGAGATTGGGGAGTACTTGAAAGTGCCTGGTAAAATGGGGCTGAGTCAGCATGGCTTTGTCGGAGAGGGTCATGTCTGACCAATCTGTTAGACAAGATCAGAAATCGAATGACACCAGGCTGTAATCCAACAGGTTTAGTTGAAATCACAAGCTTCACCTGATGAAGGAGCAGTGCTCCAAAAGCTTGTGATTTCAAACAAACCTGTTGGAATCTAACTTGGTGTCATGTGACTTCTGATTTTATCCACCCCAGTCTAACACCGGCACCTCCACTTCAAATCTGTTACAAATCTTTATGGAGGTAACAAGCAAGTTAGGCAAAGGAGAGTCAGTGGATGTGATCTATTTAGATTTCTAGAAGGCCTTTGACAAGGTGCTGCACAGGAGGCTGCTAAATAAGAGTCTTAGGAGCAAAGTACTGGCATGGATATAGGATTGGCTGAATGGCAGAAGACAGGGAATGGGGTTAAAGGGGTCTTTTTTAGGATGGCAGCCATTGACTAGTGGTTTTCCACGTGATTCTGTATTCGGACCACACCTATTTACATTATACATTAATGATCTGCAAGATGAAACTGAAAGAATTGTTGCTAAATTTATAGATGATACATAGATAAATGGAGGAATAAGTAGTGATGAGAAAGTGGGGAGGCTGCAGAAGGACTTGGACCAGCTAGAAGAGTGGGCAAAGAAGTGGCAGAAGTAATACACTGTGAGCAAGTGTAAAGCTTTGATCTTTGGTATGAAGAATGGGACATAGACTATTTTCAAATGGGGAAAGTCTGCAGAAATCTGAAGCGCAGAGGGACTTGGGAGTTCTAGTTCAGGATTCTGTCATGGTTAGCATGCAGGTTCAGTTGGCAATTAGGAAGGCAAAGGCAATGTTAGCATTCATTTCTAAAAGGCTAGAATACAGGTGCAGAGACGTATTCTGAGGCTGCATATGGCTCTGCTCAGACCGTATTTGGAGTATTGTGAGCAGTTTTGGGCCACATATCTAAGGAAGGATGCGCTGGCATTGCAGGGGGTCCAGAGGAGGATTACAAGAATGATCCTGGGGATGAAGGACTTATCATATGAGGAGCTGTCAAGGACTCTGGGTCTGTACTTGATGGAGTTTAGAAGGATGAGGGGAGATCTGATTGAAACTTACAGAATACTGAAAAGTCCAGATGGATTGGACGTGGTAGGAGAGTCTAGGACCTGAGGGAACAGCCTCACAGTGAAAGGGATGACCCTTTAGTACTCTGAGGAGGAGGAAGAATTTCTTCAGATCCGAGGGTGATTAATTCGTGGAATTCATTACAGCAGAGGACTGTGGAGGCCGAGTTGTTGAGTGTTTTTAAGATAGATAGATAGATTCCTGATTGGTAATAGGATCAATGGCTACGGAGAAGAAGCAAGAGAATGAGGTTCAGAAACATATCAGCCATGATCAAATGGCAGAGCAGACTCGATGGGCTGAATGGTCTAATTCTGCTTCTATACCTTTTGGTCTTACATAATGATGAAGACGTTCGTTTTATTGTATAACACTTCTAGTGCTGATGTCAATGCATTCTCAAGAAGTAGTGGGGAATGTATGCCCAGAAATCAATGTCCACTTCTTTCCACATATTAAAGCATGGATTAGATATGAGGGAATCCTATGACTTGGGACAGAGAGAGAGAGAATCAAAAGGTAAGACAAACTTGGCCACTCTCCCTACTCAGTGCTTGCAGAATATATATTGTATATAAATGCCTAGTGAAGCTTCTATATTGTTCCACTTCCACAGTCAGTCAGGGATTGGGACTAACCTTTGATTTCCCTGCTTCTAAATATGAATAATATTGTCATTTGAACACACAAGCACTCCAGCAGCAAGCTCTCAGTATTGACCTTAGCAAGAAAGTGAACGCAGTCTTTTCTTTTATTTCTGTCTTCTTTGACAGGGAAAGGAATCTGAGGTCACAACATTAAATGAGAAAATAGCAGAACTGAAACTGGAACTGGGTGACCTGACATCCTGTGAGCCGCAGAGCAAGGAGACCATGGCCCAGATAAAGAAGCAACTTCGACAACTGGAGGCAACGACAAAGGAGCAAAGTAAAGAGATCAGTGAACAAGTGGGAACTATAGAACAACTGGAACAGGTCAGTCACAACTTGATCATCCAACAACCAGTCACCATTTTAATTTGTAGCTTTCTTTCTCCAATCTAATGGAGGAGGCTTTGCAGTTGTGGAAGACCTCAAAATCGAGCCTCTGGATAGCCTGCATTCAGAGATCTCAGTAGAGGTGCCACTGTTTAGTGATCAAGGGAACGAACTTTGGCCAATTTTCCTCCCGTATCCGATGAGTCCTGAGCCCATTGTAATGTTCGTCTAGCTTAAATTGTCACTGCTTGAAGAAATTTATCATGCCTGCTTTCCTCACATCCCACAACTTTTCATACTTCTCTGCTAATGCACCCTTCTGGAAACATTTGCTCAGCTGCTTTCAATGTGTTTCTGTTGGCTATTTGATCACTGTCCCGCTAAGATGCCCTTCTGGTCTTGTCCCCCTCTTAGGAAGGCTAAATATTTGTCTGGCAAAACATGAGAAACCCGGACTCAAATGGACTTTGGATTCTGATCCCCCATTGACAGTGCATTTGCTGTGCTATCGCGTGGAAATTTCATGCTGTAGTGGTCAGATAGGGAGGAAGGAAGTTAAGTTGTTGTTGGATGTCCCATTGGATAATAGATTTGCATTCTTGTTTTGCTTCTGTCCTATTGCAGAAGTCAACCTCATCTGTGCTCTACGCTAGAGGAAGGGAACGGTAAACAAAAATGGAAATTGTTTGAGATGTACTGTTGAATCCAATCTCAGTACACCCAAACCAGAGTTATCACTATTGCGCGTGCTTTTACATTGACAGTGACAGTTCAAGGCCCCACCGGGCAAGGTCTGACCTTTTTTAATGTAGTTACTGAGTGACCGTTGGGTGCAAGTAAGTATAAGGTTTGGAGATGCTTACAGCCCAGCCTCAATGCAGCCACTTACCCAAAGGTGCCAGTTGGCTGATGGCACCAGCTTAAGACCCCCTCTCTCAACTTCAAGAGAAATGAGTGGCTGCAGAATACTTAATTGTTTAACACAACTGCATTGTGGTGTCATGAGGCCTTACTAGTGTACAAACACTCATTCCTTTCTGCTGAATGGGTACATTAGTATCCTAGTTTTGCAATATCCTCCTGACTGGTCTCCCATTGCCTGGGATGCATGCTGGAGGAGATAAGGGACCTCCCAGGGCTACTTACCATGGTCTGCACTGTCTGTATGTAATGGGAAGGATCTGTTTCTTGATGAGATGAAAAGAGCAATGAATTGATTTCTACGCCCAACCTGGAAGACCCTTTGAACTCCCAGTTTGTGTTATATATTTAAAAAGTGCACTTTCACTGAGAACAGAAAAACAGTAACATTTTTAGTTTATAGAACCACAGAATCACATGGTTTATGGGCTTCAATTGTTGCTTCGCTAATTGGGTGTGGTGATTGATTGCTCAGCGGCACAAATGATCACTTTAGATAACAAGATTAAAACAAAACCGGTATGGAACTGCTAGTTATTAAATGGTAAAAGTATCAGATGGTGCATTGACAGAGCAGTGTTTTTGGGCTACCTCAAAACTCATGCTGCATGGCGTGGAAATTCTTAATAGGAAGCAACTTGAAAATGGATTGTGGCGTTTTATTATTTCAATCGGAACAGGAGGAGAACATTCATCCCATCAAGTCTCAAACTACATTCAGCATCAATCCACCTCTTTACCAAACCCTGATCTATTAACCTCTCCCTCCCTACTCTCCTATCCCAGGGTGACTGTTTGCTGCTGACTGTCGTTGTCTCTGTTCAGATGAGGATAACTCCAGTGGGTGAGAAATTGCAGAGCCCCAGTTCCTGTCTGGCTCTACCTCAGGGAGGAGATTATTCTTTGAGAAAAGGAAGTGGAAAAAAAAAGCAGGAAAAGCAAGAAAGACCTTTTAACCTGGAACATGTTGGCCGACGAAATGTTTATGAAGTGTTCTTGATGTTGCCGTATATTTACTGATTATTTCCCCCATAGTTTTAAACTCTCTGTTCTCATTCTCCAGTTTGTTTTTCTCTCTGCTTTTTTTATTCCTACTGACTTCCCACTGGTTTTCTGATTGGTTCTGATTCTATAAATTTTGTTCTCACTCTTCCTTAGGATTCTTTTTAATTCTCAGTCCCTTTTAATCCCTCTGCCTCCGTTTCCTTCTTTTTCACTTCCTCCATCTTTCTGTTTTCCTCTCCCTACGAGCTTCCTACCTCTCGTTCACTCTTCACCACTAGCTCCCCTCTTGTTCTCTCTCCTTCTCTCACTCTCTCCTCATCTTCCTGTCCCTTCATTCAGACACATCTACGGTTTGAAATCGAGATGGAACGACTGAAGGAGATTCATCTGAAGGAACTGGAAGACAAGGAGGAAGAGCTGGAGGATGTTCGCAAGTCGTGCCAGAGAAGGGTATGTTCCTCATGGTGACTTGTAATACAGTGTGCACGAGATCTATCCTTGTACTAACTGGGTATTATTCATCTATAGTGCATGTATGTTTTAAACTCACATGAGGGCAGTTTCTCTTTATTTAACTAGTTGTGAGCTTCAATGACTAAGCCAGAATGTGTTGCACATCCCTAAAGCCCCTTGAAAAGTCGCTGGTCAGCTGCCTTCTTGAATGACTTCAGTCTTTTGGTTTACTTGCACCCACAGTTAGAAAGGGATTCCAGCTTTGTTGACTTAGTGACACTGAAGGGATGGTGCTATAGATCCAAGTCAACATGGTGAGGAGACATCATCTGGCCTTGTCCTTCTAGATGATAGAGGCTGTGAGTTTGAGAGGTGCTATTAAAGGAGCAAGGCCTCCTTTAGGTGAGCATGATATGGAGGTGACAGTGTTGGACTGGGGTGATCAAGGTCAGAAATCACACAACGCCAGGTTATAGTCCAACAGGTTTATTTGAAGACAAGCTTTCAGAGTCTCACTCCATCTTCAGGTGTCAGTGCGAGAGGTGGCATCAGACATAGAATTTATAAGCAAAAGATCAAAGAGTCTTAGAACTGTTGCAAATATGTTGAGCAAACCTAAGATAGCTGTTGAATCTTTAATCAGTTGGAAAGGATTAATATGCAGGTTCAAGAATTTCTTTAAAGTCAGATTCTACATAGCCAGATTCTAAACAAGGCCTTATGCCTAAAATGCATTCTCTGACCTGGGATGTACACTGATAAAACCTTTAGTTATCTTGGGGCAGTGATTTGAAAGAAATTCAGGAATTTGCATATTAATCCTTTTTAACTGATTAAAGCTTTAACATCTTAGGTTTGTTCAATACATTCACATCAATTCTATGACCCTCTGATTTTTTGCCTATAAATTGTGTGTCTGATGCTACCTCTCTCACTGACACCTGAAGTAGTAGCAAGAATCTAAAAGTTTGTGTCTTCAAATAAATCTGTTGGACTATAACCTGGTGTTATGTGATTTTTTGATCCTGTCGGTGGTACACAGTGCTATCACTTGTGCATAGGTGGTGGAGAGTATGCATGAGATGTGTTAACAGTCAAGCACATGGCTTTATCCTGGATGGTGTTGATCTTCTTGTCTAGAACCATAGAACCCCTACAGTGTGGAAACAGGCCATTCGGCCCAAAAGTCCACACTGACCAAGACTCTGAAGAGCATCCCACCCAGACCCATGCCCCTCCCCGCATTTCCCTTGGCTAACCTACCTAGCCTGCACACTATGGACAATTTAGCGTGGCCAGTCCTCCTAACCTACAAATCTCTGGACTGTGGGAGGAAACCAGAGCACCTAACGGAAACTCGGGGAGAATGTGCAAACTCCATGCAGATAGTCAGCCAAGGTTGGAATTGAACCCAGGTCCCTGGCACTGTGAGGCAGCAGCGCTAACCACTGTGCCACCATGCTGCACTCATCCAGGCATATGGGGAGTATTCCATCACATTCCTGACTTGTGGACAAGCTCTGGGGAAACAGGAGGTAAATTGCAGTCACAGCATTCGTATGGCTGGTCTGGTTCAGTTTTAGATCAATGGTAACCCTCAGGAAGTTGATATCGCAGGACTCGGCAATGGTATTGCAAACGATCTTTGTATGTGCCTTGGTATCCACTTTACAAGTATACAATATAGATATTTTATTATCAATCTGTTCAGAAATGTTATGAGCAGGTGGGACTTGAATGCTGGTCCAGAGGTAGGGACTTTGCATCACGTGAGCCCCCAGGGATATATTGTAAACTGAGTAAAATCTGCCAATAACAAGGATTATAAACTGTTCCTTAAGATCAGAACCATCTCTGTTCATGATAGAGAATCCATTACTTCATTTGTATCATGTACTATAAAAACACAAATAAGATGCAGAATCTGACAGATGTCCCCTTTCATGAATGAGCAAAATACTTTCAACAGAAATATGGTACAGTTCCTTTAGTATGCAACATTTTTCCAGTGTTTTTCCAGGTGATTCAGTTGTAAGCCTATTGACTCTGTCTGTGTATGTAATGGGATTACTGAGTTTGCTAGAGGCCTTGCTTGTGAGAATATGATTTCCTATCCTCCTGCCTCAAGTTTGTATCATGTTCTGGGCAACAAATTAGCTCTGTGGAGAAGGGCAGAAGAACTAATGCTGAGAATAGTCAGTGCTGGCAGTATCTGGGGAGAGAGAAACAGAGTTAGTGGGGTTAAGTTTCACAAGGATGGTAGACATCCTGCTACTAGGGCTGAAAGCAAGAGGAAAGCCTGTTTCAGTTGGCAGCAGGACCCAATGAGGCATATCCCTGGCAAGAGTCCATTGCTGGGAATACCATTGAACAAAAGATGATAGTTCACCCCATGGGCCCATCATCCACTTGGAGGTCCTGTGTAGTTGTGCAGTCAGATACAATTCTGAAAGGACTTGAGAGGCTGCTCTAGGTTGATGTATGAGGCCTTTGAACAGCCCAAAGTGTTGTTGGGCAGTCTCACCTCTGATATTTTCTGTGTCCTTTCTGTTTGGCACAGCTCCGTCAGTTGGAGATGCAGCTGGAGCAGGAGTTTGAGGAACGCCAGCTGGTCCTTCATGAGAAACAGGACTTGGAGAGTTTGGTTGGAACCCTCTGTGAGCAGGTAGGTCAGTTCTTCTGTGATGTGATGGAGATTATACAATAGTGTGATGGAAATATCATTAAAACCCCATTGGAACACTACCACTGCCCCCAGCAGTCATACAAACTGAAGGAATTATTTCAGAAATTTTCAGAAAGGCATATCAGGATACAATGGATAGGCTGGAAAAATTAAGCAAAGAACTACAGATCTGAAGAAGAAAAACACAAACAAAAACAAAATGAGTTGGGGAAACTTGGCAAGAATTAATGTTTCGAGTCCGGTGACCCTTCTTCAGAAGAAATGCTATGTTTTCTCCCCACAGATGCTGTCAGACCTGCTGCATTTCTCCAGCAATTTCTTGTTAGGCTAAGAAATGAAGTCCAAGGAAGACCTGATTGAGGGCTATAAAATTATGCAAGGTTTTAACAGTTTAGGTAAAGTGTGACACGAATGTTATTTGCCACTTATCAGCCCAAGCCTGCTCGCCAGGTCTTGCTGTATTTGGACATGGATTGCTTCAGTATTTGAGAAGTTGTGAAAGGTGCTGAACATTGTGCACTCACCAGCGAACATCCCCACTTCTGACCTTCTGATGGAGGGTCGATCATTGATGAAGCAGCTGAAGATGTTTGGGTCTAGGACACCACCCTCAGGAACACCTACACAGAAGTCGTGGAACTGAGATGAATGACTTTCCACAACCACAGCTGTCTTCCTTTGTGTCAGGTCATCTGGTTTTATTCTCTTTGTCAGATTTTGTAACAGTTAGATACAAATAAGTGGCTTTATAGCCTATTTATGAGTCACCCACATCACTATGGATATGGAGATCCACGTGGGCCAGACAGGGTAAGGATGGTAGATTTCCTTCCCTTAAAGGACATTTGTGAATCAGATGATTTTGTATCAATTGACAATAGTTTATTGGTCACAATCATCTGACTTATGATTCCAGATTTATTAATTGAATTGAAATTTTAACAATTTGCCATGGTGGGATTTGAATCCTTGTTTCCAGAGCATTAGCCTGGGTCACTAGGTCCTGAAGTAACTCCACAGAGGCCGGTATCCTGTCACCAAGCCACCCTTTATTTACATGTGGAGAGTCCTTGAGCCAACACTGCAGAAACTGGGAATTAAACATTGGATCATCTATTGCGCATGTGTCTGATGCGCACAAAGCAGTAGCTCAGCCAGATAACACACAGTCAATTCCACTTGAATGTTCTGCTGTAACCGACAGAGAGCATTAGCTTGCAGCAATAATGCCTCCTATTTCACAGTTCACTGCAGTAAGAAGAAACCACAACATCTACATTTTATTTCTAATCAAGATGCTCAGCTGGATGCAACCTCAAACATAATTTGGGTGAAATTGATAGAACTTTTTTATCTCTGGGCTGGCATTATAAATTTCAAATGGTGACAATAAAATGCCACCAATCCCCTTTAAAGAGACAAATATGTATTATTAAATCAGGATATCGTCTAAAACACTGCAGTTTAAAACCTTTGTCCATATGTGTAATGACAGGCACAAAATTGTGATGTAGTCCATGTCGCCTGTTCAGTCTGGGTTGTTGCAGTAAAACAGACTTTAATAGAAATCTACAGTCAGCAAACGTTCTCGGTTTGGCCTATCAATCGCATCACAAAACCCGGCACAAGACGTTGCTTCTCCTTTGGTTTCTTCTCCTGTGATGCTGAGGGACTGGTTCAGCTCTTTACTCCTGGCTGAAACAAAATCAGGGCACAGGACAGAAGGTAGAATACATCCTGTGACCTAGAAAGCTCTGAAATGAGCTCAATAGCTGCTAAGCAGAGGATGAAGAGTAGGCTGCTTTCAGGATGTGGCTCTCAACTGTAAGGGAGCTCAGAGGGTTCATAAATTTACAAGCCACTGATTCATCAGACAAGGCTGGCTACAAAATAAAATCTATACGTGCTTTATTTCAAGATGTTGAATGCGCAGGAGACCCTTTTAGACAGCAGGAATAGTTTTCCTTTTTGCGTATTGTGGAATATCATTCTCCTTGAGGGTATTGTTCCTTCGTTATTGGCAAGATTGCAGCTCATTTTACAAGAACCGGCATTTACAGCAAGGCATTATTCTGAATCTATTGCAGTGACAAATGCAACCTTATCGCTTTTGTTTTTGCTTTATGAAAGGATCATAAAATGTGAAAACAGAAGTAAGCCTTTCGGCCCATCGAGTCTGCTCTGCCATTCAACAAGATCATGGCTCCTCAGAAAATCCTCGACTTCACTTTCCCACCTTGTCCCCATAGCCCTCGATTCCATTTTGATTAAAATCAGTCTATCTCAACCTTGAATATACTTAACAAATCAAGGTTATTTGATGACAAGGT